TACCCTTTCACCACACCAATTGGTTGGCTGCTTGCCAACCAGCCCCCCTTAACCTTAGTGCCATTGTCTTGCTCTTGATTTAGGACCAGAAAAAGAAGAGGCTAGAGCAGGGGTGGGCAAACTTTTTGACTCGAGGGCCACAATGGGTACTTAAACTGGACCGGAGGGCCGGAACAAAAGCATGGATGGAGTGTTTGTGTGAACTAATATAAATTCAAAGTAAACATCATTACATAAAAGGGTACGGTCTTTTTCTTCAATAGTTTTATTCATTTCAAACGGGCCGGATCCAGCCCGCGGGCCGTAGTTTGCCCACGGCTGGGCTAGATGCAGAATTCAAGAACAGAACAAAGATGCTGGGAGGATGAGGGGAGAAATAGTGGATGGTTTGATCTAATTTGTTTCAAGACTCCAACTTTTCTGGCCCTGCCAAATGTCTGTTCTTCTGCATATCTTCATGATATCAATTTATAAAAGATAGGGGATTGTAACTATATGAATATTTCTGTAGCTGGAGATAAGGAAACTGAGGTTGAGATTACCCACTGGAACCTATAAAATTGTCTGAACAATAACTTACACTTAGCCCTAGCCGGCTTGGCTCAATGGATAAAGCGTGTCTGTGGACTGAAGGGTCCCAGGTTGATTCCGGCCAAGGGCACATGCCTGGGTTCCCTGCTCGATCCCCAGTAGAGGGCGTGCAGAAGGCAGCCAACCAATGATTCTCTCTCATCATTGATATTTCTATCTCTCTCTCCCTTCCTCTCTAAAATCAATAAAATATATTTAAAAATAAAAAAATAACTTACACTTAGTGTTTACTATGTGTCAGGTAGTGTTTAAAGTATTTTATTATATTAACTCGTTCAGTCCTCACAACAACTCAAGGGGTAGGTGTATTGTTATTTATCCCCATTTCACAGATGAGGAAACAGGCACAGAAAGCTTAACTAACTGGCCAAAGATGACACAGTGACTGGGAAATTGGAACCATGCAGTCTGCTGGCAATAAGACCATATACTGCTTCTGCAGTCACTGAATCCAAGTACACACACACTTGAATCGTTTTGGGGGTTGAAAGGAGGTTTTTCATTTGTATTCCTTCTAAGACTGCTTCTTCCTCTTTTCCCTTTCCCATAAAATGGCAGCGTGCCCAGGCACTTGTTCTATAAAAACATGCTGACCAACCATCCACCGTGCCCCCCCAGAGTGAAAATGTGTGCCTGTTCCTTACTCTCAGATTTATTCATATTCCAGCCCCTCCCTTCGTCATTTTTTTCAAGCTCTGGACCAGGCATGTGCTCTGAAGGCATCAGGCACACCCATGTCTGTGGTTTTGTCACATACAGTAATGCACTGACCAAGGCTGCTGTTTACACATTTAATATCGAGTATATTCACACCCGTTAGGGAGGGATATGGAACAGGACATGTGTACTAGTGGACATGCTTGCAAATGTGTAAGGGTTTGCTGGGTGTTGCTGTGCCCAAACCGGGACCTCTGTGGTTGGGCTAAACAACTCAATATTTTGCTCCTCTGGGTGTTCCGAGTGTGATGCAATAACAACAAACAATGGCATCATCATGAGGTCACCGCAGGACAAGGGAGGAGCCCTTTCGCCTAGCCCCGGCAGCCCTGTCTTCTCTCTCTTCGCCGGAGTTTCTACAAAACCTCCTCTCCGGGATTAGCCTCTTCCGACTGCGACGAGGGAAAGCTTCACTTTCAACCCGGGGTTTCCAAGTTCAGGCTCCGATCTGCAGGAGAATCTGCAAGCCCTGCCTCCACTCTTAAGTTTCACCCTATAAAGAACCTAAAGGAGGGGCCGGGAGGCGGGTCAGTAACGCAACGCAGGTTGATTGGCATTCAGGCCGTCGACGTCCCGTTTTAGCCCGGAGTTTCTCCAATCCAGAGGCAGGGGTGGGGCGGTGCAGGCGCAGAGAACTGGGCTTAGGTGGACTAGATTTAAAGAGACAGAAGCTGTCGGGGTCCGGGAAGACTGCCCCTAAGACCCTCTCCCTAAGTCCTTGGGACACTTGGGTCCCCAAAGCTGGGGAGATGGTTTGCGGTGGCTTTGCCTGCTCCAAGAATGCGCTGTGCGCGCTCAACGTGGTCTACATGGTGAGGTTTTGGAGGTGGGGAAAGCTTCAAGGCGGAGAGGCGAGTGGGGAGATTATTCAGGGGACTTCCGGTGGGTAGAGGGGTGTCCTGGGTGTTCCAGGAAGATTTCCAGGAACTTCCGGCGAAGAGGGAATTCCTGGGGACTTCCGTGGGTAGAGGGGAGACTTCCGGTGATCGGAGGGTTTGTTTGGGGGTGGGGGGAATGAACTAGGGGTTGTGGGAACAAAGGCCTCTCCCTCCTTTCTGTGAACTTTAGTTTCTCCCGAAATAGAAGTGATGGATGAAGCTAAAGGTTCGGTTTTTATATTCATAGATTACTATCCTGCAGCCTTCCACCCCCACCCCCTCCCAGGCATTCTGACCTCCCAGGGAAGGAGCGCCCAGGGGTGTTACAGATTCCCATAGCACCTCCTCTCCTTGTAGCCCCGGGTGCCCTGTAAGGCCTCTGGCTGTGCCGCGCGCTGGATTTCTGATGTGTATCCTGCTTTCTGTTTCCCCTAGCTGGTGGGCTTACTGCTCATCGGAGTGGCTGCTTGGGGAAAGGGCCTGGGTGTGGTGTCCAGCATCCACATCATCGGAGGAGTCATTGCTGTGGGGGTCTTCCTCCTGCTCATCGCAGTGGCTGGACTGGTGGGTGCCATTAACCACCACCAAGTACTGCTGTTCTTTGTATCCTGACCCAAAGCGATGGGCACTGCAGAACTCTTGGGAGGGCTAGGAAGAAACTAGACCTCAGGGATTTGGGGGGACATGTCTCTTTGCTCTGCTCTGTGAAACTGGGGCTGATTTTATTGCTTCCAACTGGCATGGTTGTATACGTTCTATGAATAGATGAGATCAGATGATTGTTAGAGGTGCACCATAAAGGAATCTAGGACTTTTTTCCCATAACTCTTCCTCTCAGTACATGATCATCCTTGGTTTGGTCTTCGTCTTCCAGTTTGGAATCTCTTGGTCATGCCTGGCCATTAACCGAAGCAAACAGGTAAGGGGATACCTTTTCAAATACTTGCATTTTTCTCTAACCTCTAACTCCCTAACAGTCTTGCCCCAAAGATCATTCTTAGGTCACTTCCAGACTCAGGCCATTTGCTTCCCTAGGGTGTCTGGCTAATTTTCCATGACGATCTAAGACAGTGGTTCTAACCTTCCTAATGCCGTGACCCTTTAATACAGTTCCTCATGACCCCCAATTTCATTGTTACAAATTGAACATAAAGCATAGTGATTAATCACAAAAACAATATGTAAGTATATATGTTTTCCAATGGTCTTAGGCGACTCCTGTGAAAGGGTCGTTCGACTCTCAAAGGGGTTGCGGCCCACAGATTGAGAACCGCTGATCTAAGAGAACTTTAGGTGGATATTTATCATTGGGTCTGTATATTTGTGATACACCCCCCCCCCCCCCGGGGATGTTGACTTCCTTTGCTGGAGTAGAGAAATTGAGGCACTTGAACTGAGATCAGAATGTAGGGAGATTCTTAGGGTTAGCAGCATCAAATAATTTCCCTCTGCCTATATATCCTCCAGACAGATGTCATCAATGCTTCTTGGTGGGTCATGAGCAACCAGACCCGGGATGAACTGGAAAGAAGTTTTGATTGTTGTGGCTTATTCAACCTTACGACCCTGTATCAACAAGATTATGCCTTTTGCACTGCAGTGAGTTGGCGGGGAAGGGTGGGTAGGAAAATTAGGGAAGGACAGTGGCTAAAACGGTAGATTTTAGTTGGAATAGGATTGCCTCTCTAGCAGCTCTCTTGTATTGGGGCTGTGTGCTGCTGTGTTAGGAATGGGGATGGATCCAAAGCTATAGAGAACTAGCTAAATGGGATTTCAATCTGTAAGATACTGATCAAAACTAGTAAATTTCTAGAGTCATTTATCATAGGTGCCGGGACAGGGCATCTTAGCAACTCTGCATCCTCCACACACACGTTTTATCCTAGGTCTGCAAGAGCCGGAGACCCACATGCCAGATGTGTGGAGAGAAGTTTCTTAAACATTCAGATGAAGCCCTAAAAATCCTGGGGGGTGTTGGACTCTTCTTTAGCTTTACAGAGGTAACGTTCTCCAGTTCTCATATATGCACCCTTTCTCTACCTCTGTCTGTCAGTCCCGGAGATTAAGAACTGGTGCTTATCTTTTTCCCTTTGCTTCTACAGATCCTTGGTGTCTGGCTCGCAATGAGATTTCGGAATCAGAAGGATCCCCGAGCCAATCCCAGTGCCTTTCTATGAGACTTTGGATCCTTTTGACTTCACTCCTGCTCTCCCTAAGCCTTTTCTTCCTCCCGCAGGGAAAATACAGGGTCAGTGACCTTTTTTGTTTGAGAAAGAGGAAAGGCCCTTTGCCGTCCCCTAAAGGTGATTGATAGCCAGGCTCTTGGCCTTGACAAGACTATGAGGAACACTGAGAAGCCTCTTCTTCCCCTGAGTGGCTGTGGGAAGCTCCTGGGAGTGTATGAGATAGTATGGGAGTCGGAGTCATTCCTGGCTGTCTCCCCTCTTCTCCCTTCCACATGCTGGACCACCACACATCCTGGCCTGGCTCCAAGGGGAAACCAAGGACAGAGCCAGAGAGAAAACTACCAAGAAATCTTTCTTGTAATAACAGGACCCAGTTTGGGGGAAGGTCTATGAATATAAAAATAAAAGCCATTTAGATTCCATATTCAAAGAAGCAAATTGAATGCCTGCCTCGTCTTCTCTTACCAGTTGAGGGGCTCCACTGACTATGTAGGCCCTGTAACCTAAGGAGAATCTGTAAGATTCTGCAGAGGAGTCTCTCTTCCAAATGGTTTTTCCAAATCCCCAAATGGCAAAGCCAATCAAAGGAAGAAACATTAAAAAAAGGAAGGAAAAAAAAAAGACCATATTTCTTTGTTTTGTTTTTTTTCCCCGTATAAAAAAGGATCCCAATATCAAGGTAAGGAAGGGGAGAACAAGGGACATACTCCTTGGTGTAGGAAATGGGAGGGCAGGAGAAGGATAATCCCCAAAGGAGGGGAGGGAGGGGAATGTCATTAAGGCAGCCAGCAAGATATCCCTGTAAAAAGTTGGAGGAAGTGTCTCCACAGCCTCAGATAAAAAGACACAGAGCGCTTCTCGGTGGGGGGCTCTGCACTCTAGTGTTCAAAGCAAGGTAAATGACAGCTTCTCTTCTCTTGGTTCTGTTGCAGCGACTCCATTGCTCACTCTGGGTTACCTTCTTCCTTTTGTAGATAGGAGTGCTGCAGGGCTCAGAAGGCCGAGATTCGCTTGTGTGGGTTAAAAGTCAGCATCTCCTGTGAGGGGAGACAGAAGTCAGAAAATCGTGAAGAAAAAAAAAAACCCCCAAATGACTTTTGCTCACCCTCAACAATACTAGCATGGGCTATTTTCTACATTCCTCTTTGTGGATGGCCAATCACAGCAGCAAAAGACTAGCCCATCCAACAACTGCGTCTCAGGAACCACAATGGTTTGGGTCCTTTTTCTCTACTACATTTTTCACCCTAATCTCACCCCATTCCCTTGCCCAAACTCAGTACCAGCAGCAGCTGTGCTCCAGACTTCTCCATCTCCGGGATCACCGACTGCACTGGGCAGGGCCCTCTGGGGGAGAAGGCTCCTCGGGGTAGAGACACATCTCGGGGCCAGTCTTCCTCTGGAGGCAGCCCAATCAGGCTGTGGGGAACGGGAAAACCTGGTCAGAGAGGTCCTCCAAGCCTCCACCTCAGGGGCAGAGCCAAATGCTACCAGGGCTCAGCAGCAGAAAGACTCAAATGAACATTTTTTTCCCCTTGCCCGTCACTTACTCAAAGATTTTGCCCAATTGGTCAGCTTCAGAGTTTCCGCAGAAGAGAGGCCTAAGGTGAGAAGGGACAGAGCATCATTTTCAAAGATGTGGTAGCAGAATGGTTATTGCTTAGTGGTTCAAACAGAGGGTATGGAAACTAAAGGGATAATAAGTTCCTAATTCCATTTCAAAGCTTCTAGTATGGACAAGATAGTCAGTGTAGTAATCAAGTCAGTGGTTCTCAACCTTCCTAATGCCGCGACCCTTTAATACAGTTCCTCATGTTGTGGTGACCCCCAACCATAAAATTATTTTCGTTGCTACTTCATAATTGTAATGTTGCTACTGTTATGAATCATAATGTAAATATCTGATATGCAGGATGTATTTTCATTGTTACAAATTGAACATAATGAAAGCATAGTGATTAATCACAAAAACAATATGTAATTATATATGTGTTTTCCGATGGTCTTAGGCGACCCCTGTGAAAGGGTCGTTAGACCCCCAAAGGGGTCGCGACCCACAGGTTGAGAACCACTGACTCAAGTGAAAGAATGGGCAAGATAAGGCGATGATTTTTAAGCGATCTGGGAAACTCAAAAATAGTTAAGGTCCTTGGGTCCCTTACTTTCGACGAAACATCTCTGCAAAGATACAGCCAACGCTCCACAAGTCCACAGGAGTTGCGTATGTAGACTGCAGAAGAACTTCGGGAGCACGGTACCAGAGTGTAACCACCTAATGGGAACAGGAAGAGTGGACAGGGCCCTACGGGTTACCATGAAGCACAACTGCTCAACTGATGTCACAAAACACATGACTTCCCAACTGCGATGGGCACTTCCCTACCCCCAACCAGAACCCATTTCGGCTAACATCTTTCTACTGACCACAGGTGTAAGTGCCATCTGGTAGCTGTAGATTCTGGCCAGGCCAAAGTCAGCCAGCTTGACTGTCCCACTGCTTGTCACCAGAATATTCTCTGGCTTCAGGTCTCGGTGAACAATGCAATTGGCATGAAGAAAATCCAGGCCTCTTAGAAACTGGCGCATCAGATCCTGGTTTGGAAGGGGGAGGTACAGAGGAACCGGAAACGAGGCGCCATACCTGAAATCACAATGGCTCCTACTACCAAGGCCCCCACGTGTCTTATTGTCTGCCCACCCCACGCACCTTGATGGTCTCCACTGGCAAGCCTGGTGGGGGTGCCTTGTCCAGATAGGTCCGTAGGTCTTGCTCCACGTGCTCAAACACCAGGGTCACTTTGGTCTCCCGGTCAGTTCGGGCGGTGGCACAGATATCCATCAGCCTGGCCGGAACAAATGGTGGGCTACTCATGGATCAATCCCTTTTGGCCCCAACATGACCTTCCCTATTTCCTCGGGGTCCCCACTTCTCTCCAGACCACCACGCCCCTCGGAGAGGTGTCCTTCCCTCTTGAGCACCCTCTCCCAACCCTTCACCTTCTTACCGGACCACATTGGGGTGCTCAAAAGCCTCCAGCCGCCGCAGTAAGGCCACCTCGCGGACTGTGCTGACGGGAAGGCCCCCTCCGGCACCTCCTCCATTGGGGACTCTCACGCTCTTGAGGGCCACGAAGTGGCCACTGTGTGGATCACGGGCCTTGTACACCGTCCCGTAGGCACCAACACCAATCTCAGCCACGGGCTCATATCGAGGAGTAGCCATTCTCAGATCAGAGAAGACCCTACAATCACAGAGACTCTACCACCGGCGTTCCCTTCCAGAGTTCGGATGGAATGCGCCCAGAGCAACAAAGTAACTCCAGGAAAAAAACAAACGGCACAAAGACCCAGCGCCAGCACTCCCTCCCTCCTCTTCCCTTCCCCGGTCTTCCCCGAGGCCACGCCCGCCCCTCAGGTAACACAATGACTCGTCTGGCCAGCCCCAACCCCTTCAGCCACGTGAGGCCCCAGAATTTTTTAAAAATCTCTCCCTTTGGGACCGTCGCGCCTGCCACAAAGGAAGAGCCCACACGACACACCCCCTGCATCGACGATCCCACACCCCAGCCCCGAAAACGACCCTCCCACGGCCACAAAGGACCAGATTCCACCCTGCCCCCCTCCCCGCCTCCAGCGACCCCTCCATCACCAGCCCGCGTGGGAAGCCAGGCTGGTGGAGAAAGGTCTCCATCCCTGGAAGGGGCTGCTCTTACTTCTCCCCGCGCCGGGAACTGCGGGGGCGGACCGTTATCGGGGCGCAGGAGCCGGTTTCTGTGGCGCCATACACTCGAGCTCTGTCCGGAGCAGCTGGACCGCACGGGCCCGACCATAGACACAGGCCGCCAGCTAGAGCGGACCCCTCACCCCCACCCTCATCCCCACCCTCACCATGTGACCAGCTGCCAAAGAGGCGCGCGGAAACCCGGGGGGAGGGGCGAGCGCCGGACGTTCGGGGCACGTGACCAGCCACTCCTGCGCAGAGGGGCCGGGAGTGGCTGTGCCTGGTTGGGGGGCGGTGGGGAGAATGGGGAGGAGGGACGATGGCCACCACGTGACCTGTTGCTATCCCACGTGACCGCATGCTATTGCTCCGAGGAGCAGAGGTGTGGTTACGCGGCAAAGCACGTGACTAGTTGCCACTACCTAAGCGGGGTGGGGTGGTGGTTGGGGGGGAGATGGGAGAGGGTGGAGTCCAAGGCGGTGCCATGGCAACCTGGGCCACCCAGATCCCAACTGCGGGCTGCGGGCCTTCTCCACTCTCACTCCTTGTTTCTCTATATGGGGGAGGGCGCGGGTGTCGGGGGACAGGAGGTGGTGCCCTGGCCTTTCTGCTGCACTGCCAACGGGAACACGTATTCTCACTTGTGTCTTTGTTTCATTCACTCATTCATTCAAGTTTTTACTGAGTGCTTGCTTCCCATGTGGATGGGGGGTTGTTTTGGGTCTGTTTGTTTTTTGGTGTCTCAGTCACAAGCCCTTTTAAGTAGTGATAAGACTATCTGTAAAGCCCTAGCAGGTTTGGCTCGGTGGATAGAGCGTTGGCCTGCGCACTGAAGAGTCCCAGGTTTGATTCCCGCCAAGGAAACATGCTCAATGGTGCGGAGAACTAGCAGATCAATGGTTCTCTCTCATTGATGTTTCTATCTCTTGGTCCCTCTTCTTTCCTCTCCGGAATCAGTAAAAATATATATTTTTTAAAAAAGACTATCAGTAAAGATGTAGCCAACAGTGTGCACACAAAATAGGGAGTAGACAATGCCCATGTGAGGGCAAAAGTAGCATTAAAGGATTGATGAAAGGCAGATTAATACAGTAATCCAACAGGAAGAGGGGCAAGGCAATGCCCTCCCCTCTTCCCAATTTCCACCCCTTCCTCGGACCACCACATGCCTTCTGGCGGAGAAGTTTTCAATGATTGGAAGATAGGTTCTTTGCCGCACTAAGATACTGTGATATATGTGTGTATGTGTATGATATATATTTCATACATAGAAAAATGGATATATATACACACACACACACATATAGGAGTGAGCATGTGCAAGAAGTTCCCACAGCCGCTGCCCCAGACCATCATATTACACGAGAATGACTTGTGCTCTTCTGCAAACCTCGTGGCTCATTATATGGCATTATTGTGCTCTTTTTCCTCCAATGCAAATTTTCTTGGCCCTTGCCCCTCCCCTGAACACAAACCGTTCCCAAATGGCCTCTGTCCACAGATACAGAGAAGTAGACAAGGGGCAGGTTTCTCTCTGGCTTCCCTGGTCTTACTGGCTCCAACTTCTTTATTTATCTCCCAACCCTTTGGGAGGACGGAAGTAAGGGAAGGAAGGAAGCAGTGTCTCACTTGTGACAACCTGTCTAAAACCTGAAACCAGCCCTGGCCAGTGTAGCTGTGGACTGGGCGTCCTCCCTGCACAGAAAGGTTGCTGCTGGTTGATTCCAGGTCAAGGCAGGGCACATGCCCAGGTTGGTTGCCGGCTTGATCCCCAGTAGGGGGCGTGCAGGAGGTAGCCAATCTACTGTATGTTAAACTCTCACATTAAGGTTTCTCTCTTCTCTCTTCCTCTCTCTCTAAAAATTAAAGTAGCCTTTAAAAATAAAATCTGAAACCATTTTACTACTCTATTTCTCATTCCTTCTACCCTAACTTCTGTTCTCTTTAACCATCTGGCTGAGGATGTAAGAGTTCAGGCATGAGATGAATAAGAGTTCAGGCATGAGATAAAGCATGCTCCAGGGCAAAACCGAAGATATGTCGATAGAGATTCTCCCTCTGCATTCTGATAGTCTAACTCTGAGCCCCTGCTGGTACGGGCAGCTGGGACTAGTGAGAAAAACCTTAAGCTCTGCTGGGGTAGCTCAATTGGTTAGAGCAGTGGTCGGCAAACTCATTAGTCAACAGAGCCAAATATCAACAGTACGATTGAAATTTCTTTTGAGAACCAAAGTTTTTAAACTTAAACTATATAGGTAGGTACATTGTTATTAACTTAATTAGGGTACTCCTAAGGCTTAGGAAGAGCCACACTCAAGGGGCCAAAGAGCCGCATGTGGCTCGCGAGCCGCAGTTTGCCGACCACGGGGTTAGAGCATTATCCTGATACTGGGTTGGATCTCCGGTCAGGGCACATATAAGAATCAACCAATGAATGCATAAATAAGTGGAACAACAAACTGATGTCTCTCATCAATAAATAATTTTTTTAAGAAAGATAAAAACCTCAAGGTCTGAACTGGCTATTGGGCTTGTGAGGTGATTGTTTCATTGGCTATCTTGTTAGAATTGGTTGGTTTGTAAGCCTTCAGAAATGCTAACTGAATGTGTGTGTCAAACTTTCTACCCTGGCGCCTGGCCTTCCACATAAGCCCACCACAGCTGTCTTTAGAAGTTATATATACACACACATACACACGCATGTGTGGTGACAGCAAGCAGGAAGGGGGGGTGGGAATAGGTGGAGGTGGGCCAAGAAGGCATAAATGGAGACAGAAAGAGACTTTGCTTTGGGCGATGGGCACATGATGCGGTGTGCAGATGATGTTTTGTTGAGTTGTACACTTAAAACCTGAATGGTTTTGTGAACCAATATCACCCCAGTAAGTTAAATTAAAAAAAAAAAGAAGTCATCCTCTATGTTGGCTTGGGTTCCAGCCCTTTTCTGATTCATTCATCCATCCATCCATCCATCCAATGCATGTGAATGTTTCAAAAGAGCATTACTCTCCTCAGTCACTTTCTGTGGAGGAGCCTTAGTTTGGCAGTCTGTCCCTGGTTCCATACCCTCCCTTCCGTTAATTACTCTCTTACTAATTAATTTTTTCGCAATGTGTTTGACCCAATGGGCTCCTCTGGAATCCCTTTCCCCTCAGCGTTGTAAAAGGGAGGAGAGGGAGGTTGTAAGTGTAAAGCAGACCTAGTAAGGGGGTAGAACTGGTTCTCAGGGTCAAGGCCCCCATATAAGCAAAGAGGGGTGTGTGTGTGTGTGTGTGTGTGTTGGTAAGGGAAGGAGAAAGCCAGAAAAGACACTCTCATCCCTTTAGCACTCCTATCTCCCTTGCTCACTCACCTACCTCACACATTACAATCACATTTCGTTTCCCATGCAGCCCGATCCCATCCACCCTCACCTCCCTCACAGTCCCACATCATGCTCACTTTTCAGTCCTTTGTGTAACCGTGTTTACTGCTTGAGTCTTTCTCTTGCTCACTTACCTCCCTCACACCGTAGACCCCTTGCACAGCCTTTCCTCTGCACACTCCCATTTTGCACAAGCCTCTCCCTCCCTGGTGCACCTGCGTCTTTGAGCACCCACTCCCCTTCCCCCCTCACCCGTTCACACACCTACTCTCCTACCAGTGTGCACACTCTCCTTTCTCGGACACTCCCCTCCCTCCATCCTCCCCTGGCC